GTTTCCCTGCACACCACCCAGAAGGAATCCAGCTACCTTCCCTATTGAGAGGCCCCTTTTCACCAAAAACTGCTTTAACCATTATACTTACTAAAAAAAGCAAACATTCTGTTATACAAACATGAACTAATGAACTTGTAAGTACTTCATGAAGTACCTAACAAATGAACTTTACACCTCTTGAGTGGCCTTTTCCCTCCCTATCTATGTTCACTTAGAAAAGCAATAGCCTCCTAAGCCACAGCAGCAGAGGTTCAACACCACACAGCCCCGGACTCTCCGCTTTATCAGCCTGGACGATAAAAAGAAAACACTGGTAGTGGTTTTATTTTTGTAGTGGTACCCACTACCACACAACTTCTTTCCACACACACACAGGCACAAGACCAGTCAGGTGTCATGTTCACTCTTTGCTCTGCAGCCCCTCTGGGCACCTCTGAGAGCAAGGGGCACGCAGAACTACCCCCTCATCCCTTCAAGGAGCCTGGCATCTCCCCTCCACGCTCCTCAGCAATCCACTGGCTGGCTAGAGCATGAACTGCTGCGGGGAGAACACTACACAGCACATGCCCCACAACTCCATTAACCAATTCTGAATGAAAACAAAAAGCAGATGATGACCATCTTCCTCCATCCCATGGAAAAGAGCTTCCAAACCAATCCAGTCAAGTTTGAGAAGGAAGTCGGAGAGTCCTCTGGCCTTTTCTTTAACAGCTGTAATTGCCTCTTTCTTGCTTTGTCTGCACTTGTTAAAAACATACCCATATCCTCAATCACAACTTCCCATAACCTCTTTGGTCTGCTCCTGGTACAAAGACAATGTAGAACCTGACAAAGCCTTTATTTATTCAGTTTCATCATCTCAAATCCGGCCAAGCAATCAAGACACTAAGACAAATGAGCATCCTCCAATGCCTACTTTTATAGTAGGCAGAAAAATCACTTTTACCGCAGTTATTAAGCAAAAAGACTTTGTGAATTCTAAGTCAAGGCAAACAACCAAGTAAGTAGTATCACTATATCACGCCACAACTTTCCATCTCCTCCCCATGTAAGACAAAAATATTTTGAGAATTTGCTAGTTTGAACTTTCCTTTTCACTCTTCACAACAAAGTGTTCTTCACTGACATTTGAGATAAATTTTAAAGCATGTTTCATACCTGGCCACTTCCAGTTTGCTGCAATTTCTCAACTGTAAAGTTTTTTTCAATACTGGAGTTTCCGTAACTGCAGTTCCCCATTCACCACCTGTAACTTTCAACAGAGAACTCCCCGAATTTTTATTAGATTTCACTTTCCAAACTTGAGCAGCATTGCAAATACTCTGCTTCAACAAAAAGACAGAAAGACAAGGCCTTCACTCCGTATCAGCCACTTATTCCACATATTTCAGCCTTGCCCTTAAAATAGACAGGAATTAATTTTCTACATCAAACCTTAAACCAAATTAATTGCTTTTTCCCCCATGTCTGAGAAATAAAAAGTCAAAACACATACCTTCATCCAACAGCATACTGACCACTAGGTTATGGAGGCCAAGAAGTCATCACAGAATAGGTGTGTTTAGAACAAAAGAAAACATCTAACAGCCTAACAACTACAGCTCTTCAACTTCACACCTTCTTTAGTCAAAAAGATGCATTTCCTTTAGATAGTATTACACTTTATTCAGAACAACTGGATTATAAGCTCCACACTTCTGCCTTTAGAACACTGCAATAAATCCATTTTGTCCAGCACTAGAGAACAGCACCTGGATGGCAACACCTGCATGAACATGGGAAATCTACCCAAAGATCCAGCACTGCAGCCCAGGAAGGTCATTACAAGCCCAGCTTTTCAGTATCACTACTGCCAGTCCTCCAGCTCCCCGGAGCCTCAATCCTCCACGGCACCAGGAGCTGCCTTCCTAAGGTTACTCACAGCAAAAGCTGGAAAGAGGGTGGGGGTTAAACAGCTTGCAGAAAACAGACATCATCATGCTATTAATTCTAATAGCTAATAAAAATACAACATACCACACCTCTGCCAAGAGAACGCTGTGTATCTCCTCTCAAATAGATTTGTTAAGATCTTTAGATTCATTAACTGGATCTATCATTAATGCCATATAACACAAGCTGTAACTATTAGCATCTTAAATGCTATTTCATCAGCACTGAGTAATAGGAACTACCTGACAAGTTTACAAGCCTCGGTTAAACTCAGTTACAGAAACTGAAAAAAACATAAATCCTTGTGCAAAGAGGACAGGAAAAACAAAACTTTTCTCCTCTGCCCTTCCAAGAGAAAGATTATTAACCAGGGGATTTGTAAAGTGTTCCACATTAGTTAAAGTTAGCAGTACGACTAATGTAACAGCAGTAACAAACAATTCTTACTACTAATTGCTACTGAGGCAAGGGATTAATTGTCAACGAGTTATTCCCGGATAAAAAGCCACCTCCCGAGCCATAAAGTCTGGTGTCAGTTAGGAGCAGCCAAGTGCCACCCGGACACCCAGTGACAGAGCCCTGCCCCCGGCACACACCTGCAGCACACACACCCACACCCTGCTGGAGCCCAGCTGCTCCCGGACAGTCAGAGGAGCTGCGAGAGCCCGGCCGCTCCTCCCGAGCCTCCCCAACCTCCTGTGCCACCTGTGGTTTCCTTATCCTCCATCCCCTCGGGTCCTCCCTACTGACCCGCTCCAGGGGGAGCTTGGAGACTTTGCTCGGGATGCAGCAAATCTGCACTGCCCCAACCCCCATCAGTCCTCATCCTAAACATCCATACTCGAGAGACCGAATAAAACCTGAAGAAAAAAAAAGCGGTAAAAAACATCTTTCAGACTCAAACGTAGGAAGTTAATTCACACAACAGTCACATGCTAAAATTTGGACTTCCCCTGCCCCCAAGGGCTGTCAATTTGTTTCTGCCAGCTACAGAAAGGAAAAACCCCATAATCTGTAGTGACTCTAAACACAGAACATTATGAGAAAACTTTTAATGATGTGCTACAGTAAACAAAGCACTATAAAATTTCCCTCCTCTCCACTACGTACATTTTCTGTGATATCGCCTCGATTTGTTCAAGTCCCCACCATCTTTATTTTTTTAAAGGAAATCTCTGTCTTCCCATCAGCCCAGCCAAGACTTGACTTTCTGTCAGACCTCCTTCCAGTGGCTTGGAAGCAGTTCCCAACAAGGATCACCCAGACTTTAGGCAACCAGGTATGCAGTTGGCTAATTCCTGACACCATCTTCATACCCCAAATACAAAATACTGCATTCTAAACATCACGCACCAAATCCACTTTTCTATAAAAATCATTCCTAGACAGCAATGAAAAGCTAAGTGCCACTTCTGTGCTCCCATTCCAATCAGTAATATTATCTGCATGCACTTGTTAAAACCACATCTTAAATCTCCACCAAGAAACGCACATGACCAGTGAAAGTTAACTAGTATAGTTACACATAAATATACTTACACAGTCTATGCAACACACAGAAGAAATCGACAGAGATGTTTTATTCCACGCACAACACCCCGAGCAGTGAAGTTGCAAACATTCAGTAGCTATGAAATATGCAGAAGCAGCCCTAAGCTCGGTGACCTGGGAAGCGAATCACACTTTACACATCGCACCAATTACCAGCTCTGGGAGACGAACCCCGCACTGTTTCCCACACACAGAGCAAAACTCAAAAATGGCTCTTTTGATGGTGTCCCATGCCAGCGCCGAGTGCAGCAGCGCAGCCAACAAAGTCCAGCCAATCCCACGGCTACAAAAACCCACACAACTCTTCCTTCGGTCCCCGTGGAAGCCCGACGACACCAAGTGCGAGCTCGCCAGGAGAAGCACAAGCCGAGCACCCTGCAGCGAGGGGAGAGGCTGCACAGCACAACCTGCCAGCGCCGCACTTCCACTCGCGACCGCGACACCGATCTGCCGCCTTACACCCAGGAACACCAGGAATTTCATCTTGTCGCGTTTGTCTGGGGTTCTCTCTTTCACAGCAGGCGGCAAAGGCAAAACAGGCAGGCTGACGGAGGCGCGGGTGGCACCTCACCCCGCCTCACTCACCCAAGGCGCCGAGCCGGGCAACTCCGAGCGCCCCAAGGAGCCCCCGGCCCAGGGAGCGGCCGAAGCAGCCCAGCCCAAGCCCCGCCAGCGGCTCCCCGCGGGCGAGCGGCTCGGCGGGCCGGGCGGGCCCGGCTCTGGCCCGTCCTTACCTTCGGCGAGCGGCTCCTCGGGGGTCACCTGGTACCGCCCCACCGCCAGCGCCCTGCCCAGGGCCACGCCGCTCCCGGAGCCGCCGCACGCCGTCCCGCCGCCGCCGCCGCTGCCCTCGGACTTGGGCATGCGAGAAAACTTCTTCATGGCGAGCGGAGCCCCAGGAAGCACCGGGGAGGAACCGGAGGCAGAGCGGCGGCAAGGGGGTGCCCCGCTTCACATGCCGGCCGCGGCACTCGCTTCTCCTCGCCCGCCGCCGGCTCCCGAGGGGGGAGAGGAGGAGGAGGAAGGAGGAGGAGCGGGGGGAAGGAGGAAGGAGCGGCCGCAGCCCCGGGCGGCCGGGGCGGCTGAGGGGACGCCGCGCGCTGTGCCGGGAGCGGCCGCCCCGNCCCCGCCCCCCGCGAAAGTACCCGCCCGGCCGGAAGTGCGGGCGGCCCTGCACGTGCCGCGGGAGCGAGGCGCGAGCCCGCCCCGCCCCGGGGCCATGGCGGTAGCGCCTGAGGGCAGCGCGGCCTCCGCGGGCCCCTCTCGCTAAACCCACCCTCGGGCTGGCCCCTCGCCGCCCTCGCGGCGCCCACCGACCCAGCCCGGAGCGGGACGTGCCCTCGGGAAGCAGTCTGCGGGGAGGAGAACGGTGTGGAGGCGGTGTGGTGATGAGCGCGGTGGTGAAAATGGCGCTGCGCGCCCAGGGGTGTGGGGCCTCTTGGGTCTGTGGGGTGCTTCGAAGGGAAACCTCAGGGGGGTGGTGGGGCCCCCTGTCTCCAGACATTCCAAACTCACCTGGCTGCTTCCTGTGGGAGTTTGGATGATCTCCAGAGGTCCCTCACAAACCTAACCTAAAAATCTGTTTATCTGGGAAATAGGTGTGAAAAGTGTGGATGACTGGCATGAGTTCCAGTGGTGCGTCTCCACATATACTCTGTGCACAGGTTTGAGGGTGACTGGAAAGAAGGGGTGAAATGGTGGGCCTGGGCAGGTAACAGTCAGCAGTGAAATTTAAAATGTACTTTTTCCCCTCCGTTGAAGTGTACTGACAGTTTCCCTGATAGACATGGACAAAACAAACCAGGGAATTTTCCACTACTGATTCACAGTGCCCAGGTTGATTTCACATGGGAGTCCCCCGCGTGCAAATAAAAATGTGGCACTTCTGTGGGGTTTTTTTCTCCTTACCAAATGAAAACCAAAAAGTTAGAACAAAACTGGTGAAGGACACTCTTGTTAGTCTCTCATAGGAATGGATGAATCTGGGTTTTTGGCCTTCACAGTGGTAATTTAACAAAACAACCTTTCCCACCAAACAGGTCTAAGTTTTGGATTAATATCACAGCTTTACACAGAACCACTGGTTCAGTAAAAATTTCAGAGAGGTCTGGAGTGCAAATCATCGGGAATGATATTTCGGTAACCAAATTAGTTTTAACTTAACCATGTTGCCACGCTCTTCCTCAGCAAGAAAATGACAATGTGTCTGTACTGAAGGGACAACCTGCCACACATGGAAAGCACTGATAAGCTGTTGGCATGGGCAGTCCCCTTTCTGAGGTCGCTGCTGCCCTCTCAGCAACAGCAGGTCAGTTTTTCAACAGCATACAGAGATGAAATTGCAGTTTTCCGTGGGAGGGAAAGGAATTTTCAGTGCGGATAAAAGGAGCAGAGTTCTGTAAGTGGGATGAGCTAAGCAGGAGTGTTGTGGTAATGAGGGCATTGCTACAGTGGAGTGTGCCTGTGCCTCATACACACTTGGATCTCTTTGAGAAGAAATCCAGCTAGGTTATGGGCATGTACGCTGGGTGCCACTGACCGCTGGGATTTTGGTGGTGCTCAGTAAAAATAACCACTGTGGCTTTGGAAGTATGACTGGCTTTGACATTTCTAGATGCTGTATTAATGTCCAGAAAGGAGGAGCTGTGAGTTGTCTTACACTGAAGGTATGAAACCCAGAGTAAACTTGGCTCCCCCTTTACTGAGGTGAAACCTCTCCTTTGGTTCACTCACTGCAGGGATGCTTTGGTCTCCTGCTTCTGCCAAGTGTGCAGCAAACCCCACCTGCTTAATGCAACATGTGTGACAAACAGATCAGAAAGGTGTTTGCACTACTTAAAAAAACAAAAAAAAACCAACCAAGTTTTAATACCTTGAGAGTACTCACAAGCAGGTATTTTCTGGTTGATGTAAAACAGTCGATGGTCTGAAGAAAAAGCCCGTGATAAAGAACAAAAATCAGAAATGCAAATACTGAATTTAGGAGAGATCATTCGAGGGGGGATGATGGCCTATGTAATGTATTTTTTCTTAAACTGTCAACTTGATGAATCATGAAATCATAGGAGGTACTCAGATTTCATTTTAAAAAAACCAGAACAGTATGACAGTGGAGCCAACACTGAATTTTCACTGCATGAAACCAAAGTGCTGGTCACCTTCTGTCTATGTCTCCACCACAATGCTGGAACATTTTGCTTCTTCCTTCCTTTTACTGCTCAGGGTCTAAAACATAGATGCATTGCTCCCTTTGAAGAGCTGTGTAGTGGCAGATCTGTGTGGCACAGAAATGCCCCACTCCCTGGCCCTTTCTTCTGTACAATACATAAATTTGGTTTAATTCAGTCCCATGAGGATAGAACAACTTCCTGCAAAAATACTGAAAATCCATTACAGAAAGTATTTATTAAGGCAAAAGAGAAGTAGAAAACTTCCTTTGTGTGGGTGTTGTTTTGGAAATGCCTCTTGCTGCTTCTGGATGAACTCTTTTCATTCTAATTGGAAAAAATTATAATTTTATAGAAATATGTCCTTTATATATTAAAACTTTGAAATAAATTGGTAATAGAGGATCTCAAGTGTTCAGCAATTACTGAAGCAAATTGTTTTTTTGTCTTATGTGGGTATGTGAGGGTTATTTTCTATTTTGTAATAATTCAATCAGTGGGAGCAAAATACTGTCAGAGAGTGGGTTTGCCCAATAAGCTCTGCTAATTCATTTTCCCCTCTTACTGCTTCATTGTTTTGCTGTTTTGCTTCTGGTCCCCTGACAGCTGTGAGAAACATAATTTTAAACATTTAAGTAGCTGTGCAAACTTTCTGTCTCAGTAAATCCTGTGTCTTAGTTTTGTGCTGCTGACCCTCATGCAGTCTGGTTTAGGCACAGTTACTGAAACCACACAAAATGTTTGTGATGAGCTAAAAGCTAAGCAAACCCCAGGAGACAACTGGTTTGGGTTTGGGTTTGCATTTTTTGTAGGATGAAGTCATATCCCAGCTCCACATCTTAAAGGCAGGAGTAGTAATGAAAGGCTCTTTTGCTTTGCTTTATTATAAATGTAAAATTGTATACACAAAGTGGCAGAAAGAGTTTGGTGTGTTGTGAAATATCTTGGCATGGAAAACAATGTTGACACGGGGAGGGGATTGAAAAGCAAAGGCAAGGAGTGGAATGTCTTGGAGCAGAGGGGTGGCACAGGTCAGTCGGGAACAAGCGCATCCTCTGAAGGCTGAGCAGCCCGGGAGGCTCTCCTGTGACCTTGTGAGCAGAGACAGATTTTCATTCCTTTCAGTTTCTATCATCTCTTCTAATCAGGAGAGAAACACATGGAGCTGTGGAAAAAACTAAGCTGCTGATTTCCAGCTTTAAAATGGAAACAAACTGAGGAGCCAGCTGGTGAAAATATTCAAGGTGAAAACAGCTGACATCAGCTTTGGTGACACCCAGCACAGCTCTCATTGACACTGAGGTCAAGAGTCTTTTATTGCAACAGAGATTCAGTCATCTGTGCTGCAGCCAGCGTTGGTACCAAACAAAATATAAATTCCTTGTTGAGAGGACAACTCCTGGCCCATTCAGCGAGACAAAGCAGGGAAAACAAAGGCAAATGTGCTGGTAAGAGTCCTTGGTAGAAACCCGAGGGGAAGGAATTGCAAAGAGCTTATGAGGGGCTCAGAATTGTTTGCATCTGACCTGGTAAATTGCTTTACATTAATAATAGTCTGTTTCCTTTCTGGAACAGAGCAGTCTTCTTTGTTTGTGCTGATGACCAGGCCTCTGGCTTCATTTGGTAGGGTAACATGTTCCTGCTGGCTGTGTAAGGGCTTTCTGAGATCCCTGGATTTGGCCTCTTGCAGTTGAGCTCTTCGCCTTCCATTGTGCAGGTTCCTGGTCATTCCCAGCTCACCATCAGTCAAGTTACTTTCATTCTTCCTTAGAGGCAAGGCCGGATCTTCCCCTTGCTGTAACTGCTTACTTTTGCAGTCCTAAAAATGTCTAAGGAGTTTATTTTATAGAAATGCAGTGTGCCCTGTGCAGCCTTTTTAAGGAAGGCTGCCATCCCAGCTTATTTAATGAGTAAGTCTTATAAAGTTGTTCCCTTCCTTGAAAAAGTTACTCACGTGACTAAAACACGTGGCCTTTCTCAGCAATTCCTAATCACGGTATAGGTTTCATAAAAGGCCTGCTGACAGTACTCATTGATCTGGGGGGGGCAGAGTGTTTCCTTCCTGAAAGCTAAACTTTGTTACAAGAAAACTAAAATGCCCAAATTCCAACACTAATACTGCTTTGCTGCTTCTACAGCTGCTTTTGAGATAAAAAGGACAAAAGGTGAAGGTCAAGCACAAGTGATTAGCCTGAATGGTATCCTACTTCCAGCAGCATGCAAATTTGAATGTGGCATCCTTTGTTTAAGTACTTTTGAGAACTAAAAGCATTACTTCATAAAAAGTATTCAAGTGCCACTGAAAACCCCCAGAGGCATTGATACATCCCAAAATTACTTGTAGCAGTGAAAAGTCTTGGAAGAGCCACAGGCATTGAGGCTCAAGAAATAATTTTATTTCAAATCTTTTACTGTTTGCAGAGGTAGGATTTACTGTTGAGAATTGTTCTATAAAATGAGCAATGGCCTTTTTCCCTCTTTCCCATGTATTTTTTGAGTCTTAGAGAACTGTAATATTATCTCTGGTCATAAGTCTTTAGGCTAAAAATTCTTAGTTCTTGATACAGTCTTGCAAGCTTCCAGAGAGGAAGGAAAAAGCTCCCTGGAACAGAGAGTCAGGGAAGAAATATTGGCTTTTGGGTCACAAGTGAACACTGTGTGCTGCTGCACATGAAACCACACTGACTACAGAGGTCACTGCTGGCTGACTCCTACCTTTAAAAGCCCACTCAAAAATACAGTTGTAAATACTTGGGCCCAAGTGCATATTAAATGTCTCAGGCACAATATGGAAGTAACTTTCTGTCCCGGATAGGAGAGATGGTCCTTAGGGGAAGATCTATGTTGGATGTCTGTTAATTTCTTTTGATGTAAGGGCTGTTACATAGGAGAAAATGGTCAGTATTTGTCAGTGTTTACTACTAGGAAGACAGAAATAATTAGTCTTAATCTACAGGAGAGAAAATTTAAACTAGACAGTGCGAAAAGAATTTCCTGTAATTACAGTGTAAGGAATCAATAGAAGAAAACTCATTAAATGCAGTATCCCCAGCACAAAGGTGGTGAAAGCTTTAAATTTTTCAGTGTTCTATTGATTCTCTTTAAAGGCTTAATAGATAAGTATTTGTTCAGAGAAGGTTGAAGTTGAATTGTAGGTACACATAGTGGAGCTGAGTAGGTTCAGCCAAACTCAGTATTTATACATATGCATTCATGACAAAGAAATGCTGTAACTCAGTGGAACCTGATGTGACCTGTAACAGAGAATTTAGGAGATTTAGACTTAATGGTTCCAGCCCACAGTGTGCTCGCTGCTTTCTTTTACTCTCCTGTTCATGTGTGCTTGACTGGAATGGGCCTTCAAGGTGCTATGGTGTGTAATTTACTGTAGACATTATTTCAAGTTTTGTTGCAAAGTCAATAAAGTAGTATAGGTTAGCTTACAAAGCACGTGAAAACCAGATTTAACAGTAAAAGAAAAAACTACTTGTGGGGCAGAAGGACCAGCATATGCCATTAAATCTGGATTTGTGACAGGATATATTTGGGAACAGGGATTGTGAGCTAAACCCAGCAAGATTGTAAAATGTTTTCCAAATTCACTTTTGAAGTTGGCTCGGAAGCTGAAAGATGATTGCTACAATCTGACAAGCCTTCAAGACATACATTTTTTTTCAGAGCACGCATTGGCTTTCCAGTTGTATTGGTTTTGCCTATAAAATTGTGTAATCAGTTTTTAAAAAATCCTTTCTGCATTTTTTAATGATTTTTTCTCAGTTTGCAATTGCAATAACAATTTCTCTGAAGGATTCTGGCTTGTCACTTCCTCCTAGCCTTTGATCAGTCTCTACGAAATGCCTACACCTAGTCACTACTGTTTAGACAGAGCTGTCACAAATAACAGTAATGCTTATAACCTTTACTATTCAGACTTGCAGTGTCCTTGAGAAGAGATGAGGAAAAGCAATCCGGCAAGCCTTGAACAAGACCTGGGCACTGCCCCTGTAAATGTGGATGCTGCTGAGGAGACAGGAGCACTTGATGCTGCACCCAGCAGGCCTGGCTGTCCAGCGCGAGGGAATCATCGTTCATGGGCGATTCCTGCAGACCTCCCAATCCCTGTGCACACCAGAGGGACATCAGCACAGACAGGAGGTAAGGAGAAAGTCAATAGAGGTTGGTAGAGCCGATTACCCTGCGGGAGCAAGGGCACGGCTTTAGGGACAGCCCAGCTGTGCCCTGTGCAAGGTCCAGGTGTGGCAGTGAGATCCGGCAGAGATGAGAACGCGGTGCACATCAGCTGGTGCTCAAACATTTGCCACTGCCTGTGGTGATTAAACTCTGGGGGCTCACGTTCACTCCAGCGTAGCAGGACCGGTTCAGACGTAGCTTAATTAAATCACTGCAGTGTGCACACCGCTCAAGCAGCTTCTAAACTGATGTAATTAAATCAATCAGGGCAGAGTCTTTATTCAAACTGTTGCTCAAGTACTTCATCCATGATCAAAGAGATCGTTTCTCCCTGCTGCCTGTGTGCCCTGGGTATCCCTGGAGCGTAGCAGGGCATTCATGTTTATTTGTTGCTATCCTGCCCTGTATCAGACTCAACTGTTTATAAAATAAATCAGCCAAGTCCCACTTACAGATCTCAGGCAGCCTTATCTGTTAAGCTACTGTCTGTAAGCATTACTGTATGAAACCCCAGTAAAAGGCTAGAGGAGGAAATCTGGTAAAGATTGGACTGGACAGTGTTGTTAAGGCCATGACCCTGGTATTGATATGTAAAACATGAATAAGATAAAATTATTTATTTAGGCTGCTCTGTATTTATATTCCAAAAAAAGATGGCTAATTAAACCCAAAAGCAGACAATTTGAACTGCCTCTGGGGAAAAGATATAACTATACAACAGCAGACAGACATAAATATAGTTAGGAACATTTTATTTATGTATGTAATAATACTGGACTAACCTGTAGAACCCTTGGCCGCTAAGGTCATGGAGCTTAACAGCTCAGGTAGATGCAAAGGAGACACCTACTTTGATAACAAGAAGACTCACAATTACCTCAAGCAGGTTGATTAATTATTCAGTCATTAAAGTGCAGTATTAACTTTAGTGCTCCGTTCCAGGTGATGGAAAAGGTGTCTTCATTATTTCGATATCTGCTGAATACTTTTTCCTTTTTGGCATCTGCTGTGATGCACATTCAAAGCCTGGATGAGTCAGTGTCAGTTACCAAATTATACTTCACATGGCAGTATACTCTGATATTGTTATGTAAATACTGTGGTTTACCTAAAGAGCTTATCTGTCTGCAGAACACATATCTTGTGTGCTAGAATTTTTAAGCAGTATTAAGATGTAAACATTTTTTCAAAAAAACCCCAGTCCATTTATTTAAAAGCAAAACCTGTTGTTTTCTGTTGAGGGAAATAATTTTGTTTTTTTTCTTAGCTTTCTCATGTTTGATACAGTTTGGGAAATGAGAAAAAATGTCCCAGTTGTGCTTCATTTAGTTTGAATTTGTTGATTCAGTAAGTGTCATTTCCAAAAGTGTTTTCAAGCCTCACTGTCATAATGAAGCCAGACACTTTGCAGTTAATAACTCTGGAGTTATCTGGAAATGAAGCACACTGGCTGTGACCTAAGAAAGCAGAACCTTCCTACATTTCCTCCTGGTTGTTTCCATCACCAAGAGGTCCTTACTGACAGTAGCATCTGTGCTTAAATATTTTTTGTAATGCATATTCTGCTAGGATTACATAATTCCATAGATAAGGTACCAAAATCTCCAGCTGGGCTTCTGCCAGCCTTAACTGCTGCTGAGAAGATTCTGCTTGCACTTGTGAACTCTCTGCATTGCACATAAAATGCTTTAAGACATGGAAGAACACAGAGCCTAGATTATCTTAATGTAGGCTTACTACAGAAGGCACCTCTGTCTACCAGAAAATGTCTGCCACATTATAATGCACTTGATTTAACAACTGTGTGGCTAAAGTCACAGCTTCCTGAGGAAAAAGAAAATTAGAGGTCATGCTTCTAACAACCTGACTCCGGCCAGAAGGCCTGCTTGTACCATAGAATAACAGACCTAGGTTTAAGTGTGGCTTGAAAACACAAATAGAGGATCTAGGAGATGTGAGGTAGCCATTCCATATCCAAAGGACTGTTGTGTTTGAGGGGCACACTGCCCTTCAAAGTGAGGTGATACCAGTGAGAACCATCGGATGTCTGGAAACCACACAGCCTGTAAGTAAACATGAAGTGGGAGGAGTTGTTTAGCCCAGAAAAGATTCAGCCTCTTGCTGACAAAAATAGCAAATGGGGAGGGATCAGTCTGCACAGTCACATTCCCATTAACCAGGGCAGAGATAGGGGTACCTGAATCTTACCAAATGAATTTAGGTTAAACATCATGGACAAGTTGTGTAGCTGCAAGGACAATTAAGCATTGAATGAGTGGCCAGGGGAGATGGTGGTGTTTCTAGCACAATGAGGAGCAGCCTAGGCAAAAGGTGCTCAAGAGCAAGCATATTAGTTTTTAGTTATTCTCCAGGCAGTCTCTTTTCCCAGGGGTCTCACACTGATTCTCTGTGGATTTAACTACTTTGTTGCCACCCCACCTATGCTAGCTACCTTCAGAGGACCTGACAAGTTACATATCCTGTGCAGTTCTGGGCAACTTGCTTGGGTTTGGGATTTACTGCTTCTGTGTAGGACTGGAACAAAACCTTGTGTGCCTTACCATTGAAATGTTACCTGTCACTGATATAGTTCACATAATAAAGGTGCAGCCTGCTCCACATCACGAGGCTCACCTAGAACCTAGAGCACTAACACAGGTGCTCTCCTCCTGCTCCTGCCTGAATTGATCAGGACCAGCACACACAGCATTTTGCAGGGGCTGAAAACCAGACTGGGATCCTGGCTCGGCAGCCGGTATCGGAGTACGCAGCCTTGCCCAAGGACAGCTTCCTCTTTGCTAAGTGAGTATTGCTGACAATCTGTTGGTGGTTTTCACTGTGTCTGTTTCCTGCCCTGGAAGCTGCCCCTTTTTAGTGTTCTGTGATCCGGCTGTGTCCAGTGCCTGATGACTTCAGCTTTACGGACAGCTGCTACCAAACGCAGTGGGAAGCACAAAAGAAAACATGGGTGCATGTTCCAACAGCTGCTATCCAAAGAGCCTTCTGGAGCTTAATGCACAGCAAGCACTTTGTACCCAGCTAGAGACAGTCTTTTTTCAGCCACATTGCCTGACAAAACAAAAATCATCCCCTCTCCACATAGTCCAACTGTTTCATAACAGCTGATGTTGCAGCAAAGCCCCCATCCCTCCAACTGGTAACAGACCCCCATTAGTAATGCAAGGTGTAGCACTGCTGCTCAGCTCCTGGAGCCTCTTTGACCAAGGCCTTCAGAGCCATTCCAGGATGGGTGAGAAGCTAACCAGTTGCAGTCATGTCCACTCACCAAGATAAGGAGGGCCAGGTTAGCCATGATTCCTTACTGGCCACACGGAGGATTATGCTAATTTGTAGCTAAAGCTTATGCCAGTTCTGCCTGGCTCTGCCCCCAGCAGATTTGGAAGTTTTTCTTGAAGCTAACGTTGGTGGTGGATTATCAGTGACTGACCATTTGAATAGCCCAGTCCCACAGCGTTGTTCTGCTTCCTCTGGTCTCTCACTTGTCATTTGTTTCTCCTGAAGGTCCCATGTACCAGGAGCTCTAATCCTCCAGGAAAATCTATTTAAGTTTTCCCTGTAATCAGGTGTACAATAGTGTATAATCTTTAAGGCAGACAGCATACTCCCCATGCAAAGGAAGTACTTGCATTTACCATGTGAAGCCTGCAAGACAAGTTTTCCTTTAACCTTCCACCTGATAAGTACAGAGCTTTAGCATGGCTGTCAGAATTCCCTGAAGCAGAGGCTATAAAGAAGTAGTATTTGGCAAGAGCTGCTGTCATCTGCGAGTCTGCCTCTTTGATCCTCCTTACACTTGTGAAATCATGCCAACATCTCTGCAAAACAGAGCAACAGAGCTGTTGCGTAAAGGTGATCTCTCTCACTTGCTTTTTTCCTCTGATGGAATTTTTGCTCGGTGACTTCTATTCTTGTACAGTAAGAAAAGCCCCACGCCTCTTTCTCTACAGTCTCTACCTTTGTATTGCAGCCATTACCCGTGTTACAGATATTTCCTTGATTTCTCACTACATTTCCAGTGCTATATTATACTGCACGACAACTGAAAAGTAATTAATGAAGTCAGGTAGGAAACCTGGTCCTGAGGAGTCACCCATTGCCAAGAGCTGACTTGGCAATGCCAAAAGCTGTGGCAAAACTCCAGGCTATCTCTTCCATGGGCTGGTATTCATGTACTGCCAGTACATTCATGTACCTTTCAGAGCATTGCCATTGAAGACATTGATCAGACAACATTTATAAAAATTCAGGAGTGTTTCCCATCTGGACCTCTTCTGATTTCTGAGCCCTGAACGTAAGCATCAGCCACACTTCTGAACCTTTTTGCCATGTTCTTTTTAACATGCCAGCTACGATTTTATTATCAGTGAATTAACACAGAAAGTTAGTCTTGAGAAAAGAAATAAGCATGGGAGGTTTAAAGCATTTGAAGTAAAAGTCTCCTTTAATTCTTCTAATAAAACTTTTATGTACCTCATTAAAGTACCTCCACTATATTAATCATTCCATATTCACTGAAATATGTCAAGATTACCAGTATAAAAGTACAGGTGGAATACAGAATCAAACAGAAATTACTGTTTTACTTGAGACCCTCTGTACATCACATTAAAGCTGAGGGAGATAAAAATATAGTGCAACTAGCATGCAAGCTTTTGCTTCCAATTATGATCAAACTACCAAATCCTTTTGCTGTTTATGCTTCACTAGACTGCTTCTGTTTCTGAAAGGAACAAGCTGTGTCCAAGCTGCTGAACTGAACTTATCTAGAAAGCATGAAATCAGAGCTTCCCAACATGTGCCTTTACAGTTAACATCCACCACAAAATTAGTGCTTTCTTTAAGAACATGTGTTTTAAAGTGGGAGCATCTTTGGAACCTTTGATTAGGTATTTTTAGAATCAAAAACCAAACAGAATTTGGACACTCAAAGCACTGCCTGTATT